GATTTCTCGATGTCTCAATTTTTGAATTTTACAATGTTTCGATTTTTCGATTTGTTGGTTTTTCGATTTTTTGCTACTCGGTTTCTCGATTTTTCGATGTTTCGATTTTTGATTTATCCGATATTTCAATTTTCCAATTTTTTAAATTTTCGACTTCTCGATTCGTCGATTTTTCAGTTTTTCGATTTTTAAATTTTAGATTTTCGAATTTTTATTTTTTTGAATTTTTGATGTTTGGATTTCTACATTTTTCAGTTTTAGGATATTTTAACTTTTCAATGTTTTAAATATTAGATTTTCCGATTTTTCAGTTCTTAATATTTTTTTATTTTTCAAATTTGGCGTTTCTGAATTTCCAGTTTTCGGATTTCTCAATTAATCTATTTTTTTATATTCCCGTTTCTCCACTTCCTAAAGTTTCGATTTTTCAGTTCTTCAGTTCTTCAATTTTTCGATTATTAGGTTTTTGATTTTTCAATTTTTAGATTTTTTAAGTTTGCGATTTTTCGATTCTGCTTTTTTGACCTTTCTGTTTCTCAATTTTTTAATTTCCTAATTTTTGGATATTTCGTTCAATTTTGTGATTTTTCTTTTTTTCGATTTCTCAATTTTAACTTTTCAATTTTAAAATTATTATTTTTTTTTCAATTTTTTGAGTTTTCAGTTCTTCTATATTTCAATTTTTCAATTTTTGGAATTTTTAAATTTTCGATTGTCCAATTTTTTTTTTCGATTTTCCAATTTTCGATGTTTCGGTTTTTGAATTAACCGACTGTTCAATTTCTCGATTTTTAAATTTTAGATTTTCCAATTTTTGTTTTTTGATTTTTTTATATTTCGATTTCTCGATTTTACAATTTTCCCATATTTGAATTTTCCAATGTTTCAAATTTTCGATTTCGACGATTTTTCACATCTTCAATTCTTCAATTTTTCGATTTTTTAAGATTACGATTTTTCGATTTTGCTGTTTTAGATTTTCGATTTCTCAATTTTCCAATTTTTTAATTTCTCAATTGTTTGAATATTTCTTTCAGTTATGAGATTTTTCAATATTTCAATTTTTCGGCTTTTCAATTTTTGGATTTTCAATTTATTGTAAACTTTAGATTTTTCAATTCTGCGACTGTTTAATGCTTCGATTTCTCAATTTTTCAACTTTTCGATGTTTTAATATTTCATTTTTTAAAATTCTAGATTTTTCGATATCTCGAGTTTTCAATTCTTCTATATTTCAATTTTTCAATTTTTCGATTTTTTTAATTTTAATTTTCGATTTATGAGTTTTTCTTTTTTAAAATTTTTCGATTATTCAATTTTTTAATTTCTCCATTTATCGAATTCAGATGTTTCGTGGTTTTGATTGTTCAATTTCTCAATTTTTCAATTTTTAACTTTCCTTTTCGGCTTCCGACTCCTCAATTTCTCGATCCTCCAATTTTTCAATTTTTCGAAGTCTCAGTTTTTGAATTTTTCGATGTTTAGATTTTTGGATTTCTCGGTTTTTCGATTTTTTTTTTGAGCTTTTCAATTTCTGGATTTTTCAATTTTTCAATGTCCCGATTTTTCAATTTTTCAAATTGAATTGGATTTCTCGATTCTCCAATTTTGCGATATTTTAATTATTCAATGTTTTAAATTTTAGATTTTGCGATTTCTCGATTTTTGACTTTTCAGTTCTTCAGTATTTAAATTTTTCAATTTTTGAAATTTTTGCGTTAAATTTTCAGTTTTCTGATTTCTCAATTAATCAATTTTTGATTTTCCCACTTCTCAAAGTTTCGATTTTTCAGTTTTTCAATTCTTCGATTTTTCGACTTCGCTTTATTGATTTTTAGATTTCTCAATTTTTGGATATTTCTTTCAGTTTTGATATTTTTCAATACTTCGATTCTTTGATTTTTCGACTTCTAGATTTTTCTATTTTTTATTTTTGGATTTTCAGTTTTTCGTTTTTTATACTTTCGATTTTTCAATTTTCCGATTGTTTTATATTTCAATTTCTCAATTTTTCAACTTTTCCATATTTTAATTTTTAAATATCTAGATTTTTCGGTTTCTCGAGTTTCCACTTCTATATTTTAATTCTTCAAATTTCCGAATTTTTAAATTTTTTGAGATCTCAATTTATTGAGGTTCGGATGTCTCGATGTTTTGATTATTCAATCTCTCGCTTTATCAATTTTTCCATATTTAAGTTTTCGATTTTTTGATTTTGGCCTATTTCGGTTTCTCAATTTTTCGATTTTTCGACTTCTCGATTGTTCGACTCCTCGATTTTTTTGTCTTTTGATTTTTCGATTTCTCGATGTCTCAATTTTTGAATTTTACAATGTTTCGATTTCTCGATTTGTTGGTTTTTCGATTTTTTGCTCCTCGGTTTCTTGATTTTTCGATGTTTCGATTTTTGATTTATCCGATATTTCAATTTTCCAATTTTTTAAATTTTCGACTTCTCGATTCGTCGATTTTTCAGTTTTTCGATTTTTAAATTTTAGATTTTCGAATTTTTATTTTTTTGAATTTTTGATGTTTGGATCTCCATTTTTCAGTTCTTAATATTTTTTTATTTTTCAAATTTGGCGTTTCTGAATTTCTAGTTTTCGGATTTCTCAATTAATCTATTTTTTTATATTCCTGTTTCTCCACTTCCTAAAGTTTCGATTTTTCAGTTCTTCAGTTCTTCAATTTTTTGATTATTAGGTTTTTGATTTTTCAATTTTTAGATTTTTTAAGTTTGCGATTTTTCGGCTCTGCTTTTTTGACTTTTCTGTTTCTCAATTTCTTAATTTCCTAATTTTTGGATATTTCGTTCAATTTTGTGATTTTTCTTTTTTTCGATTTCTCAATTTTAACTTTTCAATTTTTAAATTATTAATTTTTTTCGATTTTTTGAGTTTTCAGTTCTTCTATATTTCAATTTTTCAATTTTTGGAATTTTTAAATTTTCGATTGTCCAATTTTTTTTTTCGATTTTCCAATTTTCGATGTTTCGGTTTTTGAATTAACCGACTGTTCAATTTCTCGATTTTTAAATTTTAGATTTTCCAATTTTTGTTTTTTGATTTTTTTATGTTTCGATTTCTCGATTTTACAATTTTCCCATATTTGAATTTTCCAATGTTTTAAATTTTCGATTTCGACGATTTTTCACATCTTCAATTCTTCAATTTTTCGATTTTTTAAGATTACGATTTTTCGATTTTGCTGTTTTAGATTTTCGATTTCTCAATTTTCCAATTTTTTAATTTCTCAATTTTTTGAATATTTCTTTCAGTTATGAGATTTTTCAATATTTCAATTTTTCGACTTTTCGATTTTTGGATTTTCAATTTATTGTAAACTTTAGATTTTTCAATTCTGCGACTGTTTAATGCTTCGATTTCTCAATTTTTCAACTTTTCGATGTTTTAATATTTCATTTTTTAAAATTCTAGGTTTTTCGATATCTCGAGTTTTCAATCCTTCTATATTTCAATTTTTCAATTTTTCGATTTTTTTAATTTTAATTTTCGATTTATCAGTTTTTCTTTTTTAAAATTTTTCGATTATTCAATTTTTTAATTTCTCAATTTATCGAATTCAGATGTTTCGTGGTTTTGATTGGTCAATTTCTCAATTTTTCAATTTTTAACTTTCCTTTTCGGCTTCCGACTCCTCAATTTCTCGATCCTCCAATTTTTCGATTTCTCGAAGTCTCAGTTTTTGAATTTTTCGATGTTTGGATTTTTGGATTTCTCGGTTTTTCGATTTTTTTCTTTTGAGCTTTTCAATTTCTGGATTTTCCAATTTTTCAATGTCCCGATTTTTCAATTTTTCAAATTGAATTGGATTTCTCGATTCTTCAATTTTGCGATATTTTAATTATTCAATGTTTTAAATTTTAGATTTTGCGATTTCTCGATTTTTGACTTTTCAGTTCTTCAGTATTTAAATTTTTCAATTTTTCAAATTTTTGCGTTAAATTTTCAGTTTTCTGATTTCTCAATTAATCAATTTTTGATTTTCTCACTTCTCAAAGTTTCGATTTTTCAGTTCTTCAATTCTTCGATTTTTCGACTTCGCTTTATTGATTTTTAGATTTCTCAATTTTTGGATATTTCTTTCAGTTTTGATATTTTTCAATACTTCGATTCTTTGATTTTTCGACTTCTAGATTTTTCTATTTTTTATTTTTGGATTTTCAGTTTTTCGTTTTTTATACTTTAGATTTTTCAATTTTCCGATTGTTTTATATTTCAATTTCTCAATTTTTCAACTTTTCCATATTTTAATTTTTAAATTTCTAGATTTTTCGGTTTCTCGAGTTTCCACTTCTATATTTTAATTCTTCAAATTTCCGAATTTTTAAATTTTTTGAGATCTCAATTTATTGAGATTCGGATGTTTCGATGTTTTGATTATTCAATCTCTCGCTTTATCAATTTTTCCATATTTAAGTTTTCGATTTTTTGATTTTGGCCTATTTCGGTTTCTCAATTTTTCGATTTTTCGACTTCTCGATTGTTCGACTCCTCGATTTTTTTGTCTTTTGATTTTTCGATTTCTCGATGTCTCAATTTTTGAATTTTACAATGTTTCGATTTTTCGATTTGTTGGTTTATCGATTTTTTGCTCCTCGGTTTCTCGATTTTTCGATGTTTCGATTTTTGATTTATCCGATATTTCAATTTTCCAATTTTTTAAATTTTCGACTTCTCGATTCGTCGATTTTTCAGTTTTTCGATTTTTAAATTTTAGATTTTCGAATTTTTATTTTTTTGAATTTTTGATGTTTGGATTTCTCCATTTTTCAGTTTTACAACGTACTGATTAATACGTCCGTTTACTACCTTATCGACATCACGTGCTTACAGACTATTTTTACCCATTTTCGTAAGGTACCGCCACTTCATAGTGAAGCGAGTGAGATGTAAAATGTATATTCATTCTTTTCTACTTGGGAAAGTGATTGTCCGTATAGGTAGTCCAACTATAATATACTTAAACAATGCTACTACCTTGTTTTTCATGAAGGTGTCGAATAGGGCGAAGGCGACATTTCGGTTGCTCTTGGTCCAGGCACCTCGCAGGTCGTACACCACGAGTCTGTGGGTGGGCGTGTCTTTGCTGCGCTCGCAGGTGTTGTGTTCTCGGTTTGGAACGACTGTTTCGCGCCCGTAGGACACTTTGGCCACTGATAAACAGTAGCACTTTTCGACGGGTTGTCGCAACGACATGGCTTCAAATTCCGAGTCTTCTTGGAGCGCGCTTTTGAGCCAGATTTCGGAGTCGTTGAGCTCGGAGTTCATGTAGACGATTGACCACTCGGCCTTGGGGCGGTGGGTGAGGCCGTCGTCGATGGGAACGAGGGATAGCATGTGTTCTGATTGAGTAATTACGAAAGTTTCTCATAACTTAGGGAAAACACGCACACTAAACGAAACACTATTGAAAAAAAACTTACCGGCGCTCGATGACAACCTTCCCCCGATGAGCTCGCACCCCCTCTGCATCGCAAACGACATCCAATAACACACCTGGAACTTATGCAACCCCATCAACAGGTGCACTTTCTTGTAGTGTCGACTAAGCTGGATCTTCCGCGGTCTCACGTTATTAAAAATCTTCCCTCTCTTCGTGGGCCTCGTCACCCCCGACAAAATCAGCTTCAAATTCTCGATCCAGCGCAAAGTACTCCCGTAGAGTAGCAACATGGGGTAATCGAAATTCGACTGATTTGTCGCGGGTTTCGTCTCCAAGACGATACTCAAGTTGACGTTCTGGGACCGGAAAGCGCGGAAAGAATCGTGGACTTGGTTGCTCGAGTACTCCGGGATTTTATCCGGGGCGCACTGTATAACATTGTGGTGGTCGTTAGGGTCGCCCAGACACACCCACTGGATACCCAGGATAAGTTTCAAGTTCGGTAAATGGAGTAGTTGACAATCGTCGTACTTGGAAGCGGTTCGTACGAAAATGTTTAGATCCCCTTTGTACACGAATTTGGCTAAATGGAATAGTTTATTAGAACAATATTGTATTGCGGGGGTTGCAAGTACCATTGGTCCAGTCCATCACGACCTGGCTCCAAGTCAGCTCCATTTCCTCCGTGGTGTTATAAGGGTCCAAAGACGCGTGAAGCAAAACGGTCAATTGTTGAACGACCATTGTGAGTCTACCGTGGAGCAAAAGGCGCATTTTGTCCCAGAAAGACAGCGGGGGGGATGGGTCCCGGGACGGGGCGACGATTTTTTCAAAACCTATTTCGCACGATGTAAACAACGAATTTTGGAAATGGGTGGGTACGTACTTAAGTTGCACTGGGCAATCACAGGCTCCCAGCATGGTCCAAAGGCGTAGCTGTACGATTCCACCTCGCAGTTGAAATCGTGGTAGAATTTCAAGGGTAACATCCCCCTTTCCACCGGGAATGGTTCGAATGGCTCCCCCAAGTTTACCACGACGCTTCGTACGGCTTTAAAAAAATAGAAAAATTCCGTGATGCGTCATTTTTTGCTAATTGCTATAATTTCGCACCATGAGGTGTTACAATGTTACGATTATCTACGCAGAGTGCTTTAGGTAAATGGTGCGCTATTGTTCAACAAGGACGACATTTGGGTTTAAATAGGGGACGGGATTGGGGCTGGAGTATTCAGTTCTACAATGGCGAGCTTGAAATTTGTCTGTGTTGCGCTTTTCGTTGTTTTGGCGGTTGCTATGGTCGAAGGACAAGTAAGTGACTTTAACATTATTTGTAACTAATTTTAACATTTTTTATTTAAGTCTGGTTACCGGCGAGGTGTAGTAGGTGCTAGTACTATGCAGGACGCAATGGAGAAAGTTGGCACCAAGATAGAACAAGCAGGAAATAAGGCAATTAACGAAATGGAGAAAGCTGAAAAAAAAATACAGGACTTCACTGGGGGCAAATAAGTTTTTAGTTACTATGATGGATTTTAGTCAAATACGAACATAAACATTTGGAGATGATAAGTTTTTTTTTTATATGTATATCTGCGACGGCTATGGAACTTTTACAGATAAAGTTGGCCATGGTTTGTGGATCACTTCAATCAAAATAATTTATATTTTTTGTCACATGAATTTTCTAAAATGGAATTGTTTGTAATTTTTAGGAAAACTTTGTTTTAATCATTAGGGAATAATAACGAAATTTTATTCACGCATTTCCTCCAAAAATTGATGACGTCATCTCAAAAGTTGTATTCCGTACGAAAGAAAACTTCTAACCCTACTGAATAATTAAACAATATAATACTCGTCTCAAAATTTATTTATTCATTTTTTTATTTCTTCTACTTCACTCCTACTACATTTCTAGGGTATTTTTACTATTTAAGGTTAATCACCTCTTCTGTTCTTTCTCCAGCGGTTACAAGATGATTATCCAAATTTTGGTTAACGTTTTACCATCTACATGATACTCTTAATACACGTATAAAATTTGACAACAATCGGTCGAGTAGTTTCGGAGATTATCTGTCTAATAATAATCCGGACAGATGGCAGACAGGCAGACAGACAGACAGACAGACAGACAGACAGACAGACAGACAGACAGACAGACAGACAGACAGACAGACAGACGGGAGGAAAGAGGAGACCTATTTCTTCCTACTCTAGAGGTCATGAACGGTCGAAAAAACGTAAAAGTAGAGAGTCGGCCGACGGACTCGATTGCAATACTTCCTTTGCCAATCACTGAAATGGAGAAGGGAGGTGGGCGGAGCTAAGTTTAGCTTGTTTCTTGTTTTATGAGCAAGCAGTAGCCCCGCCCACCCACCCCTTCTTCATTCAGTCCCTTTATTTTCTTAGAGAATATGTCATTTACCAAAATCAGTCTCATCTTATCAAGTAGTAGCCCCGCCCACCCACCCTCTATTTTCTTAGAAGGTATGTCGTCTGCCACGATCAGTCTTATCTTAGCAAGTACTAGCCCCGCCCACCCGCGCTGTTCTCATTCTAACGATTTTATCTCTGTTCAGTATGAGTTCCAGCTTTCATTCGGACTAAATAAAAAGAATCATTGAAATAGCGGCAGGGTGGGTGGGCGGGGCTAAGTTCAACTTTTCCCTACAGAGTCTTTTATAAACAAGCAATAGCCCCGCCCACCCATCCCCTCTTCATTCCTGTGATTACTCGTACAGTCATTTACCAAAATCAATTTTGTTTTGACAAATACCAGCTCCGCCCACCCGCCTTTATTTTCTTAGAGCATAATGTCATTTACCAAAATCAGTTTTATCTTATGAAGAAGTAGCCCCGCCCACCCACCCTCTATTTTCTTAGAAGGTATGTCGTCTGCCACAATCAGTGTTATCTTAGCGAATACTAGCGCCACCTACCCACCCTCTTCTTATTCTAACGATTTTATCTCTCTTCAGTGTAAGTTCCACCTTTCATTCGGACTAAATAAAATGAATCGTTGAAGTGGAGGCAGGGTGGGTGGGCGGGGCTAAGTTTAACTTTTCCCTACAGAATCTTTTATAAACAAGCAATAGCCCCGCCCACCCATCCCCTCTTCATTCCTGTGATTACTCGTACAGTCATTTACCAAAATCAATTTTGTTTTGACAAATACCAGCTCCGCCCACCCGCCCTTTATTTTATTAGAGGATAATGTCATTTACCAAAATCAGTTTTATCGTATCAAGTAGTAGCCCCGCCCACCCACCCTCTATTTTCTTAGAAGGTATGTCGTCTGCCACAATCAGAATTTTATCTCTCTTCAGTGTAAGTTCCAGCTTTCATTCGGATTAAATAAAATGAATCATTAAAATGGCGGCAGGGTCGGTGGGTGGGGCTAAGTTTTAATTTTTCCTCCAGCGTCTTTTATAAACAAGCAATAGCACCGCCCACCCACCCCCTCTTCATTCCTGTGATTACTCTTAATATACAGGGTGTTATTGAAAGGTACGTACAACAAAATTGACAGTTCTTCGCGAAGTCTAAGAAGTCTGAAAAACTTATTTTGTGTTATCAAAATTTTAAGGGGAAAATTAACCCTTATCCAACCTTTTTAGACGCTACTGAGAGATAAATTAGGTAAAATTAAATTATTTTAGTAAATCCTAGCAACTGTAACAAACTTTTGTCAAGACTAAATGTTGCTATAGAGATGATCTTTTTATCAGAGGCATACAACGAATTTGGTCAGAACTTTTAATAATTTTTATGTTTAAAAGGAGAACACTTTTACCTGAACTTTTTTTAACTTTTAGCACCCAAACTTCGAGACCAATTGCCGATTTTATTTTGTACGTACCTTTCAATAACACGCTGTATTAATATTACCAAAATGAATCTTATTTTAACAAATATTGGCTCCACCCACCCGCCCTCTATTAAATTCGAGTTTTCGATTTTTCTACATTTGAGTTTTGAAATTTTGCAACTTCTGGATTATCTTTTTTTTTTCAATTTATCGATTAATCAAATTTTTTGATATTTGAATTTTAGTATTTTTCGATTTTTCGACTCCCGTTTTTTTTTTTATTCAATTTTTCGATTTTCAATTATTCCGTTCCCCGATCATTCATTAATTCTGCAATTCATCGATTTTTTTGAGTTTTTTAAATTTTAATTTTTAGACATTTCTGTTTTGGGCTATTTCGATATCTCGATTTTTCAATTTTTCGACTTCTCGATCTATCGATGTTTCCATTTTTCGATTTTCCAATTGTCCGATGTTTCGATTTTTCGATTCCTTGGCTTTACTATTTTTCGATTTTCAATTTTTTCAATGTTTCGATTTTTCAATTTTTCGATTTCCCAATTTTTACATTTCAATATTGGAATTTTTCAGTTTCACGATTCTTCAAATTTTCTTCGATTTTTTCTATTTTTCAGTTTATGGATTGATCAATTTTCCGTTATTTGAATTTTGTAATTTTTCGATTCTTCAGTTTTTCTTCGCTTTTAAAATTTTTCAGTTATTCATATTTTTCGATTTCTCTCTTTTTAACATTTCCATGTTCCGATTTTTCGATTATTCAATTTCATGATTTATCGATTTTTCAATTTATAGATTTTTTAAATTAAAATTTTTCGGTTATTAAAATTTTAATGTTTTGATATTTCGATTTTGGGCTATTCAATTTATCGATTTATCAATGTTTCGAAATTTTTAATTCCCGAACTTTTGATGTTTCGATTTCTCAATGCATTGATTTTCCAATTGTTCCATGTTTCGGTTTTTCGATTTCTCAGTATTTCGATTTTTGAACTTCTTGATTTTCAAATTTTTCGATGTTTGGATTTTTCAATTTTTTGATTCTTCAATTTTTGATCTGCTTATTATTTTCTAAATTTTAGATTTTCCGATTTGTCATTCTTTTTTATTTTTCAGTTTTTCGATTTTCAATTTTTCATGTTTTAAATTTTACATTTCTCGATTTTTCAATTTTTCGGTTTTTAAGTTTTTCGACTTTTCAGTTTTTCAATTTTTCGATTTCTCTACTTATGATTTCGATATTCTCTTTCCCGATTTTTCCTGCAGAGGCTTTTATAAACAAGCAATAGCACCGCCCACCCACCCCCTCTTCATTCCTGTGATTACTCTTAATATTGTTCAGTCATTTACCAAAATGAATCTTATTTTAACAAATACTAGCTCCACCCACCCGCCCTCTATTAAATTTTCATGTACAGAGTATTTATAAAAAATGTTTTAATTATTACAATTTTCAAATATCAGTATTCAGGTACAGGGATTTTGTACTTTTTTAAAAGACACATCGAGATATTGTAAGAATGAGGACAAAAAAATACAAGGTGTTACATTTGAAAAAAAAAATAAAAAATCGATATTTGAAAATTGTAAAGTTTTAGATTTTTTGTAAACACTCTGTATATTAAAATTTTATCTAGTTGATACCACAACAAAGCGCCTACATTTGTTTATCTTTCCATAAAATATTGTAAGACTGACTTTAAAAATAAGCCTATTGCGATTTTTTTATAAACAATGTCGCGTCGGAATTTCAAAAGTAAAGCCCAAGAAGAGATCAATCAAAATATCTAAAAATATATACGGTGTTTCATTTAAAAAAACTCTCTTTGACTTTTTTCCTATTTCTAATAATTAAGGAATTAATAAAATGTCGATGACTGCGTGCTTAATGACTCACTCTGTATATTTCTGGAAAAAAATTTACCTATAATTATGTATCTTTTTCATTGAAGTGAACGTAGAGTTTCAAATAATTTAATTTAAATAGTTGCCAAAAACCCTATTTGAGGTAGTAAATTCTACAGGCAGGGTGCGAATACAAATCTAAATCATCCAGCATATACAGGGTGGGTCACTGGGCGTGTGCTCTTCAATATCACTTTAATTATTAGAAATAGCAAGAAAAAATCCAAGAACCACGTTGTATACTACTTTAAGGACCATATACCAAAATTATTTCCCAACTATACAGAGTGTTCTGTTTTTAAGACGCAACACAG